TGATTTGTTTGCTAGTGTTTTCAGATTGAATGTGTCTTAAGAGGAATAAAGAATGAGTTTTGTGTTTATTTGATTGTGTGTTTTCATCTTTTCCTCACACACTGTACATTTGCATTATCATGACATAAGCTAAAACCCCGCTCCTTTCGATTTAAGTAAGAGTGAGAAGCTACTCCCTCGTGTGGTTTTCATCTCCGTATGGAATAGTATATCGCTCTTGGGGCTCACGCCATATGGTATTCGTGATGGTTTTCACCTCCGTATGGACATAAGGAGGTGTGTCCCCACGAATTTAACTCGATCTAAAAACTTGTGATGGGATACGATTGAGGGTTTTGGCAGCCCAAGGGTGCACCAACAAGGACAATTCGATAACCTCTTACTTTAGAGCTGAACCTAGTATATAATGAGCCTAAAACCTGAACCTAGGTAGAGCCTAACCAAGACTTAGAAATCCCATGAGGAAAGCACACAAGAAAAATCTTTTTTGAGTCTTTTAATTTTCAAGTGTAATTTTACTTTCCGAATAAATGTATGCGAACTAAAGATCATGCGGTTAGGTTTACTTTTTTGAATAAGCATGTGAACTAGATAGCATGAGGTTAGGTTTTTTAAGTCAAATAAAGCATTGGGTTAGAAATCATGTTTGGGTAGGATCTGTTAAAGCATGATTGGGTAGCCATCATATGGGATAGGTTTTATTGACAAACTATGTTATGCTCGATTGATTTCTTTATGATTACTAACTAATTTTCTTTTATCTTTTCTATTTTATTTTGTTATCATTTTACATTGCACTTCTCATTTCATGGTGTTGATCCGTGATCGATGTTCATATAGATGGCTAGTAATATGGAATGAAGGGTCCAAAAAGAGGTAGAAGACAATGCAAATATTTTGAGATAGTTTGACCAGTCTCAACTCACCAAGGGAGATAGCTTACCACCTAGTTACATGTCAGATTTGACTGGTTACACTCATATCAATGTTTGTCAAAGCGATATGAGCGATCTGAAAGAGATCTGTAGAAGATGGGAAATAGTCGATAAACAGTTGTTCTATCAATTATATGGTGATATCTCATATCTCTTGGACGTCCCAATTGACTGAAATTTGTTTAGAACTCTGGCATAATTCTGGAACCCCGCCTATATTTGTTTTACTTTTGACTGAGCGGATCATAAACCTACAATAGAGGAGTATCAAGCTTTGATCCTCTGTCTGAGATTCCAATTAGACAGGGTGTACACCAAACTGCCAAACACTCCGTTTTTTAAAAAAGAAATTGCTTTTGATGATTGGGATGAGTGAAGAATGGGTTGTAAGATGCATCAAGAATAAAGGAGATAGTGAATGCATCACCTGGACGGAAGGTGATTGGTCGTCATCCCGACAAGAGAAAGAAGATTGACCTGTTTGCTTTGGGTATTTATGGGCTAGTCATATTCCCGAAAGTCCTTGGGCATGTTGATGTGTCAGTGGTTGATTTGTTTGAGAGATTGGACAGGCGTGTAGACCCCATTCCAAATATTTTATCCAAGACTTTCCATTCTTTAAACTCTTGCAGATGAGAGGGGGAAGGACACTTCCTAGGATGTGCACCACTATTGCTAGTTTGGATTCTCAATCACTTCAAGCACGTTGAGAGGGCGCCTGGACGAGTGTTTCTAGAAGGGTTTTCTCCCTTGGAAAATTTCTTTTCTTAAGAATGGTTTAGGGGTTTCATTGAAGAAAAATGGATGGTCATTTTTAAAGATATCAGAGATGGTGATATATTATGGTGAGCTTCATGGAATATCTCTTCAGACATACTCTATAGATGTGGAAAGTGAGATTGGGTTTCGTTACTATACATATAGGATTCTGTCGGATATGTACCTTTGTTAGTTTCCAGGCAATATGGGTAAAGACAGTTTATTCCTACAACTTAAGATTTTTCTGGGTCAGAGTTTACATTCAAAGTAGAGCAGTACAAGAGAAAAGTCAAAGAAGTTGTTGATGCATAGAAGCAGACTCGTCGAGTAAATCTCTTCACCTTCGACCTGAAGCTTTCACAAGAATACGAGGAATGGAGAAGTAATCAAGTTAATGATAATATCTCAATGGTTAATCTAGAATATACCCAGCCAATGGAAGAACATCTTAGAGCTATACCATCTCTGCTAGAATTAGCCAAGCGTGATTTTGAGGCAGAAAGAAAACAGTGGAAGAAAACATTACAAAATATAGAGGATTAGGTATACCAAAAAGGAGTGGAAATCGATATCCAAAAAGGTCGAGCTGGCCGAATTGAAAAAAAAGAAAAGCAACTCATATTGGATTTTGAGGATCTTTAGTTGTCATACCAACGAATGGTAAAAGCTCAGATGACCGCTAGCTCAAGTAAATCACCTGCTGAGTGGAGGCTCGAAGCAGCAAGTCTGATGAGAGAAGCCAGGGAAAGATATGGTCTTCCCTAAAGAGTAGCGGAGCATATCCGATCTCGATTCCGATTTGATCTTCTTGAAGACAAGAGAAACAAATCGATCCCGATTTAGTTCTTTCCAAAGAATGGTGGAGTGAATCAAATTTGTTTAAAAGATATGGTCTTCCTTAAAGAGTAGTTGAGCATATCCTCATTTCTCAGATTTAATCTTCCTAAAAATCAACGAAGCAAGTGGACCTCGATTCAATGTTTCCTAGCGGACAGTGAACTGAATCAAATTTTCCAAGTCTAATCTCCCCTAAAGAGTAGTGGAGAAGATCTTCATTCTTTCAGATATGGTCTTCCTTAAGAGTAGTGAAACAAATCAAGTTCGATCCAACCTTCCCTGAAGAGCAACGAAGTGAATAAAATTTTTTAGATCTGATTACCCAGAAAAACAGCGGAGCAGATCAAATCCGACCTACCCTAAAGTTATAGTGGAGCATACTAACCTTTCAAATTCCTTGTAATCAGACAAATATAACCATCCCTTGATCTTTGATCTATTATTGTTACACGAGAATGACCAAAAAAAGGCAACATGTTTGAACACTAGCGACTAGGGTGATTGAGCATTCATTTATAAAATTATTGAGAGTATTAGAACATATACTACTTTGTAATCACCCTAGCTTAATAAAACAACATAGTTGGATGATATGATTGACAAAATTTCAAAAATGGTGGTTAAAATGAAAAAGGGCAATAGTTTGGTGGTCAATAGTATAGTTTACCCAAGCTTAATCTGATTCGTTGTTTCACTAACAATGCAATTTCTATGATTTATTCCAAGTCTGAGGTACTGCCACTGTGATTAGGCTTCTATTAATTTCTTCAGACAATCAAATACCCAAAGAATATTTGCTTTAGCATAAACATGTGATTTGGGATATCGTTCTTAATTAGATGCCTCTAAGAGTCTAAATGGTCAATAATTAGTCATAACCATCTTATACAAGTCCCTTTCTTGTCCAGGACTTATGGCCTCATGTTGTCCTGTTATTGTTGTTAACATGACATTTGTGTGGTACTTATGAAAACCAACTCCTAACCATTACAATTAACATGTGGATGTGATACATAGATTAGACCAAAGATATTTGTGAGTGCTTTTTAACGAAGTTAAATTAATTTAAATTAAAAATCTATTAATTGGTTTAGTGATCAAGAATGCACATATTATCATATTTTGTATAAGATGGAATCTTGATATTTACCTTGAGTATGTAACATCTTTCTACTTAATCAAAGTAAGTTAATTTGAATCATGATATGTAACATGTTGGGGCTATTCCTTATTGAACATTGATTAGACAGAAACTCATGTTAATCAAACTCTTTAATAATTTGGGTTTAGTTGGAAACTGCAGTAGTTGGATCATTAGAATGATGAATGGTAGGAATCCCTTGTTACTAAGTTCATTGAATTTGCTCGACCAGAGCTCTTCATAGATAAGATATAGGGCCCTTATAACTTCCAAATTTGCAGACAGAATTTGGATAAGGTGGCTTAATCATCGAGCATACAAAAACTTAATAAACTTCTTTTATATAAATATTTGTTTCCTTCACTAACTAAACGATTTCAGTAGTCAAGGGATTTATTGGTATCCCTTGAGGTCTCAAGTTTAAGTGTTGTGTATGTCGATAATATATCCTTCATTACAAATAGTTAAGAGTATTTGAACCATTACTACATTATATTCACTTAGATTTATCAAAAATAAATAATTATTTTTCATGAAAAATAATTGTATAGAAAAATGTTGATGTGGAGATGATTATGATGACCTTAGGTGATTTATTTATCTGATTTGAGTGAAAAACCACAATCGATAGTCAGACGAATGTTGGCCGGTGATCAAAATCATCTATCCTCTTTAAGCGGAAGAAGAGGGGAAATGAAAAAAGATGATTACATACATTCTCTCGATTTTGATTGAGAGATTTTACCGTGAGTTTTAATGTTGTTGTCAATGTAGAGTTATTGTGATCACTACTCGTAGGTTAGGTTATGGAGTTGACAATATATTTAACTCTAATGGATCACATGCACCTATAATTTGTTAAAAATTAGGTCAAAAGATGGTGACTTTTTTAGAGGATGTTAGACTTTTAAGGTCCTTTCATAGATGTGAGAAACTCCTCCCGAGTTCTTCATATACCGTAAGATCCAGAGAAGGTACAACAGAAAAGATAAAGCTTACATGAATCGCACGTGCATATAAGGAATATATTAATTAATGTGTTTAAACTATTTATTGTTTATGTCCAAAAGTCAAAAGAGGCTTTGGCTGATGTTTCTCCATTAATTTAGCAGAATGTCACTAATCATGGCACAATCTAAGCAAACTATTACAATGGGGGACTTTTAATGTTTTTGCATTAATCCATGAAAATGGAAGACAAGCAAACATTTCAAACTGTACATACATAAAAAAGAAAAGAAAAGAAAAAGAAAAAGAAAAAGCAAGATATAGGACATCAAATTTCTTTCTTCTTTTGTTGTACCCATCAACATGTTGAAGATCCAGTCCTCTCATAGGGCACCATTGGAAATTGTTGCACCCCTCTTGATGATTTCCATATGAGTAGTTTCATACACAGGCAACTCGAAGAGATCAGAGCTCGAATCACTATCTACACCATCGTTGGTCTCGGTCTCGTTGAATCTCCCGATTCCTTTCTCATCCAATGGACACCGATTCCGATGACGAGTACCGAGATTCATGTGTTTCGCCGAGTAGCCATTATTATACTTCAATTTCTCATCCAACCAAGAGTAGTCTGTTGTATTTGTATTTCTTTTGTCACCAATGACAGCGTTTTGTAAAACCGTTGGTTTTGTCCGTCCAATGTTGATCTTCGTAGGAGTATGTGCATAGGAAGGAGGTGTCCTGAAACCGGAGCTCGAGGACGAATAAAACGACTTCGTATCGGTTGTTCTCGAGCTCCGAAAATGGCTAATACTGCTCCTCCTCTTCCTTCTCCCACCAGGGCACTCTTCTTCATCTTTCATGGACTGTGTGGTCGATTTCGATTTCTTCTTCTTCGAACCCGTTTGATTGAAAAGAGAGTTCAAGAAGCTAGCAAGCCTTCCACCCGGAGAGCTCGGTTGCTTATATTTCTTATCCTTAATTTGCTTATCCACCACATGAGCTTGTTGAGGAAGAGGGTTCCTCGTGGTCATTTGTACATCCAAACTGACCCTGCCCATCATTTTCTGAGAGAATGTTGCACAATTATAGCTGGCTACGTCGTTGTACCCCGAGAAATACCGAGCAGCTTCGAAGACATCAAGCTCACCGGAGTCGTTCCTTAGATGGAACGACTTCTTCGACATTCTATTGGGTTCCGAGACTCCTGTTATAGACATGATATGCTTCTTCTATTGTGATGAAAGTGGTGAGATTGAATCAACTGGAGTGCCTCATAAATATAATATGGTGAAGAGTGATTTTTGGAGGTTTTTGAGTGAGACCGACCTTTGATGTGAATTTTGTGCTTTAGTTTTAGTGGAAGTGAAGTGTGGTAAGAAGGGAAGAAACAAGCTTCTTTTTTTAATCTTTCTCAGTGGTGGGCAAAGAATTGGTGTTTCCTTGGATTATAGGGATTGTACTCTTGTTTTAGTGGGAAGTGGCTTTTTTGAGTTGCCATTGGCAATGGCCACGCTTCAATGTCGTCTACTTCTGCAAAACTTCAAACTTAACACTATTAGTATACAGGCCCATTACTTTAAAAAAAATTGTTAAATTTAATTTAATATATTAAGAATAATAAATAAATAAATAATTGTATATCTGATTTCCAAAGAAAGTAATTTTTTAAAATTTTAAACCTGCCTATTCCGTTCATGCTGCGGCTCCTTTGGGGGAGCAAGAGACAATTTGGAAAGTTATTCACCGGTAATAGGGTCTTCCTCGAACTAAGATCTTTATGTGATTAGTTTGTTGTGGTAACATCATGAATAATGATGAACGTGTTTGTCGTCATTTTACTGATGATAGTAGCTGCTTGCTCCATTTTTCATTCGATTAAGGAAGACATTCACCATGTTCTCCGTATGTGCCCTGTGAGTCTGTGACTATTTCAACATGGCATGGTCTCATAAAACGTTCTAAACTCCAAGTGTTTTTCTCGTTGGATATTAAGGCTTGGATTGAGGTAAATTTGTCGAGCCCAAGTTTCTTTGTTGTGAACAGTACTTATTGGGAGCTTATTTTGGAGCTATTATTTGGAATTTGTGGCTCCAACGTAATGCTATCGTGTTTGATTCTCCCATTGAAGATTCTGATTCGGTGATCGGTCAAAGCTATCGGCTCCTCTCCTTGACTCGCTCAGCTTTGGATATTACGAATAGGGTGTCCCATATTCCTTCAGTTGGGATGCAAAAGACTTGTTAGTTACCACCGGAGGAGGGTAGGGTGAAGCTTAATTCTGATGAGACCCGTCGTTCGTCGGATAATCGTGCAGCGTGCGCGGTGTTCTTCAGGATCATAGTGGTGATTGGCTGGTTGGTTGGTTACACTAAATTGTGTTCTGTACTTGATGCGGAACTGTGGGGGTTGTACCTGGGTCTCGTGTGTGCTTGGTAGGAAGGTTTTAAGAAGGTTATTGTGAAAACCGATTGTCGGACTGCGTTGAGTATCATGGATAGTGATTGGAACAGTTTTGGTATTAAGTCTCTTCTTTCGTACATTTGTGTGCTGAGGCAACGTAATTGGTCCTTACATTTCCAACATGTTCTTAGGTCTGGGAATCGCGTTGTTGACGTTGTGGTTAAGTTGGCATCTGATGTGAGATTTGAAGTCCTCTATATGTGTAATCCTCCAACAGAAGTCCATTCACTCTTGCAAGCTGATCGCACTGCTCTAACATAGTGTTATGTGTTTGTTCTGTTGTTCCCTTTCGTTTTGTTTTGTTGCTACTTGCACTTTCTTTGTTTGTATTATTAATTGCCTCTTTTCTTCAGATTAGATTTAGGGGATTTTTATAATGCTATCATATCTTCTTCACTAAAAAAAATTAGACCTTATTTTATTTAATTTTTATATCCGTCATTATAAGTATACCGTTACACTTGAATCTGGATCATTTAAGAATAAATCAATTAAACTAAACTCGAACTAAAACCACTAGATTATTTAATTATATTGGATGGGGCTGCTTGCTAAATTACTTTTTTGAGAGATAAAAATCAAGCTGCACCCTTTTTGGGGAAGTAATTTGTTTTGGTACAATAAAGTTTGGACATACCTAAAATTCAATTAGGATTTATATAGGAATTTGCATATTGTTCACCAAGAATGATGATGGTAGGATTCGAACTTGACCTTACAAATTCAAATTTCTGAACCTAACTTCGAGTTGAAAGAACTACCAATAAAAGTCACGGTTAAAACTTTTAAAGTAACAACCAATTTAGTTTTATATACATCTTGTACTGAAATATTAAATTAATTAATTTTTTAATTAATTAAAAAGTTACATTAGTTAAATCTTTTTATTAATTTTGATCGTTTTATTTCATTAATTTCATATTATTTGTCATGTGACCTACTTTAGTATTCTCACGTTTATTTCCAAAAATTTAAAATTTATTTTTTAGAAAAATATTAAAAACATTAAATATTATGAAAGTTATACAAATAGTTTTTTCAAAAAAAAAATTCTATAGTATTACATAATTATTTTAAAAACATCAAACTATTATAAAATTTTTCTAAAATATTAAATAATTATAATATATATATATTAAAATTCTAAAACATTAAAATATTAAAAATTATATAATTTTTTAAAAAAAGTGATAAATTATATATCTAAAATTCTTATATGATAATAAGTTGTAAAGTGAGTTGCCTATGGTTTGATAATTTGTATTATAATTTTGGATTTTAAGACTGCCTAAAAATATTGTTAAGACATAAAATATTATTAAAAATTAAAATATGTTAAAATTAATTGTATGAGATGAATCATTGTGTTACGTCATCACAAATCTCTATGGGAAAGAACTACTACCTTGAATCATAAATTTTACTAAAATATGTTAAAATTTTATTAAAAATATGTTTCAACACATACCAAAAAAAATTCTGGTTAGAGTTAAAGTTAGTTTGGGTGCAAAATAAAAAAAAAAACAACATTATTGAAAGGAATCAATGATTTGAAATAACAAAAACTTCAGACATGAACCATAAAGAAATAATGAAGAAAATAAAATCTCTTTCTCTGGGTGCTGGGGGGCAATGGCTGCATCCTGCATGTGTGTGGGGTTTATCTAAAGCCAATTCACGCGTGCAAAACACCACAAATGGCTTTTCATACTCGGTTGGATCAACATAAAAGATCCACCGTAGGCCAAGTGTTTTGATTTTGATGAGCATGACACTGCATTCACCATGTACGCAACAAATTTATATTAAAGGTGTGAACCAACAATGTTATATTAAGAATTTAAATGTGAAATTATAAATTTTAAAAGATTTAAAATTACACCATAAGATACTTAAATTATATAAGGGTTTAAAATTTCCAAAGATACGAGTGCAATTCAGTATTCCCTCGGTCCATCCTTGATCACATTTGGATCTCTCTTTCTCGAGTCAATTTTTGGCTACGAAATTAATGTTGATTTTAACATCGAGTGGTCCTTTTGGTTCCTAGAGCCTAACAAGAATACAGCAAAATCAACCTTTGGGGCTGATAGTTCTTCACTGTCATTGTCTTTGAGCAAATCCCTCGATGATCTTTGATTGGAACTTGTGACAGGAATGGGCCGAGGGATGGGTGAGGGAAGTTGTTTTTGAAAATTTAAAATTATCATATATTTTAGATTTTTTATGTATTTTTTATTTAAAATATGTTTTTACCTCTGTAATTTTATAAGTTCAAGTGCATCCTTTTAACATAAAATATTACGTTCATCCCTCTTTGTCAGAGACAACCATGATTTTATTGAGCAATACATGGTTGAGCTTCTACTTAGAATTGGTATGAAACAAAAATATATAAAGCTGAAATTTTTTTCAATAAATTTTTTGACTTGTAAGGTGAGAATGAGGGGATGGTCCATGATTGAAATGTAATTCAAGCCATAAATAGTAAAGATTGAAAGAGAAAAGCTTATTTGTTTAGGCTACTGATCAGTTATCTAAAAAGTTCAAACTCTATTCGGGGGGGGGGGGGGGGGGAGTTGAGACTGACATAAAAACATATAGGGAAAAGGGCACCCAAGGCCCCTATACTTTTTAAAAAAACCAATATAGTCGTCGTACTTTTTTCCATGCAATGTGGTCCTTCGACTTAAAAAACCAACTCAATCTAATCCTTTGACCAATGTTCTCCATCATTGACGAACGATGCAGTTAATTCTTGTTGACGTGACACGTTTTTCGTCCGTTTAGTGTTGAAAAAAGAAAAAAATCTTCTTTCTGGAAACCGTTCGCCGGTGAGCATCGCCGCTGTCGTCTCCGGTAGTCATCACGAACAAAGGGACACGGTCGGACCATTTTGGTCCTTCGAAGTCAAATATGTCGTCGGTTTCTCCAAAAACAACCCGGATGATCGCAAATCTACAAAAATACTCTTCGGCTACTGTGGGTTCCATCTCTCCGATCTTCTTCGTCCGTCGTTGGATAAAGCCACCTCCACAATATGTTGCTCGCAACTTTGTGGGTAACATCTTCACCGTTGGGGTTTACCAACGACCATCAGGAACATCGCGAATCAAGACACGAAAATTCACCATCAGTTTCTAGCAACAAGAATTTTTCCTTTTTTTCATCATTAAATGGATGGAAAACTTGCCTTGTCAGCAAGAATTAATGGTTTCGTTGGTCAATGATGAAAAATGTTAGTCAAACGACTAGATTGAGTTCGTTTTTTAAGTTGAAGGGCACATTGGATAAAAAAAGTACGAGGGCTACTTTGTTTTTTTAAGTATAGGGGCCTTGGGTGCCCTTTTGCCTAACATATACAATTTCATTAATTTAAGGATAAACTGTGCATTTAGTACCTAAACTATTAGTTTTGATCTGTTTTAGTACCTAAACTTTTAATTTTTTTTCAAAACCATACCTAAAATTTAGTTTTTGTTACATTTTAGTACCCACGTTAACAACTTAATGCGTTTAGTACCTAAACTATCACTTTTGATCCGTTTTAGTACCTAAACTTTCATTTTTTTCAAAAATTAACATTAAATTTTGAACAGTGATACTAAAATGAAACAAAAACTAAACTTTAGGTATGATTTTGAAAAATTGAAAGTTTAGGTTTTAAAATGGTTCAAAACTAATAATTTAGGTACTAAACACATAATTTACCCTTGATTTAATCATTTTATTTCTTAATTTTTATTATATTATTCTTTTATTGTAAAACTT